TATGTGGGAGGTTTTAAGTAATACACTCAGTCTGTGGTCAGAATCTGCTTCCTCCCTACACCCTCCTCGAGCTACCAGAATGATTAACCCAGAAGCAAGATCAAGGCTAAACTGACCTGTGATGGGTGCCTGCGGTCTGCTCCAACGAACCACAATGGAGGTGTCATCAACTTGGTCCACGGTAGGGTTAGGCGGGGCATCGGGAGCTAATAAAGAAAGGAAGGAGGAAGTGAGGGAAACGATGTTGTTACAGGCCTACAGTTGAAAGAGTCCTTTAACACCACATAGCACATCATGTACCTGTTGTCTGTGAAGTGGACAGGATCAAACTCTGCTTTCCTTCCTCAGATATCTGGTAGACATTGACAATGTACTTGCGGCCAGGAAGCAGGTCAGGGATGTTCACAGAAGTGGCTGTGCTTGGAAGATCTTTGAAATAAAAACTAAAGGTTACAACCAATGCCTCCACAGCATTTGAGAAGAGCAACACACTGAGAGGGAGAAAAGAGACTAGAAGGAAATGTGCTAGTGGATTAAGCAGTAATTGTCAATGTGCTATGGGGTATTTCTTCTTTTATGTTTCAAATTGTTTTCTCCAAACATGTACAACTTTTATAATCCACCCCCAAACTTGAATACCTCTCTGTGATTAGAAGGCAGATAGTAGAGACACACAGAAAGATGGAGGGCGGGGATAGGATTTGAAAAGTATGCATGAAGGACAAAGACAGGAGCTTTTGTAATGTGGGCCTACGCTCAGGTAAATGCATAGAGCACCTCATATCTGGAGCAGGACAAGGTGAGGGCGCTCAGGAGAACCTGCCAGTTCTACAAAGGGCCAAGCTCTCCTTTCCTTTTCCAGCAGGAGGCTTTGTTCTACTGGGGCTGTCAATTAGCTCCACAGAGAACCTACTGATTCTTCTCCATCAACAGCCCCTTCAGACCCACCCTGAGCCACGCATCCAGCTCACCCAGGTACTGCGGTTCATCTCCCTCCTCGCTCAGCTCATACTCCACCCGGAATCCTGATACAGTGTCCGAAGCTGAGACCCAAGAGACCACGAAACTGCTGGCTGTGATTTCAGTCACCGATTCCGAAGTGGCCACAACAGGAGAAAGTTGTGTTGTCTCTCCTGTCACAGTGTTGCCTAGAGCATCACAGAAAGGAGAAAGCAAGTCTTCAGTGATCCAGGCTGTTCACCATCCTCACCTGTGGATGGTTATTTTTTTTAAATGCAGGTGCCATTTGTGGGAGAAAACGAATCGAGAAGGCGAGAGCTTCCCAAGGGGAGCTCAAGTCTGAACAACTTGGGTGCAGACCCGAGGGTGCAGGTACGTACTGGTCACAGGTGTGCTCGCGCTGGTGGTGAAGTCGAAGCGTGTCACCTCTCTGTGGCCATACTGCTGGTAGCTGATGAGCTGCCCCTCATATACCACTCCTGGGGTCAGGCCTTTGATGGTATAGGAATTTAAGTGGCCTGGAATGGTAGCTTCCTTCCAACGGCCTGCAGTAGTTTTCTACAAATTTAAATTTTTAAAAAAAGTCATGTAAGAGTTTATGAGGATAAATATTTAGAGATGATGGTCAGTGATCTTCAAAGAAGAATGAAGAAACTTTGCAG